CTTAGCACTTGTGTAAGAACTCAGGTGACCAGAGGTGCCTGGGTTTACTTCCACATGGTTTGTTCTTTTCCATTAGCCTATGTGTCTGTTTCTATGCCCGCATCTAGATCATTTGATTACTTTAGCTTTGTAGTAAGACATGAAATCAGATAGTGTAATGTCTCCTATTGATTTTTTTGTCTAGCTAGCTATAGTTATTTGTGTTCTTTTTTGTGATTTTATAGAAATTTTAGACTCTTTCTAATACATAAAGAATGCCATTTATTTTTAGCAGGAATTCTATTGAATCTGTACATTGCTTTGGGTAACATGGCTATTTTAACAATATTACTTTTTGCAATATTTGCATACCATTTCCAGGAATGTGAGGTGTCTCTCCACATTTTGTATCTTCAACTCCTTTCTTCAATGTTTTCTGATTTTCAGGGTAGATATCTTTCACCTCACTGATTAAATTTATTCCTACATTTTCTTTATCTATCTATCATCATGTCTGTAGTTATTATAAATGAGATTGCAATTTTGATTTCTGTTTCAAATGATTTGTTGTTGGCACACAGCAATGCTATTGATTTTTTTTTTTTACCCTGCAATTTTGACAGTTTCTGATTTTTTTGAGTCATGGTTTTGGAGTTTTCTATAAATAAGATAATAGAAGTACAAATATTTTTACTGAAAATGTGTATGTATTTGGTTATTTTCTGTGTTACCTCAGTAAGCACTGAATTACTGATTTTTGAGGGTCTGTTATGTCTGGGTTCCTCTTGGATGAGCTGAGGACATAGCTGTAAGACGGCTTCACTGCCTTAAGGAGACAGCACTTGTCAGCCAGTTTGTTGGTGACTGGGATTTGAACTCAGAGCTCCGCACATGCTAGCCATGTGCTCCATCACTGAGTTGCACCCCCACCCTGAGAGTCTACATTCTAGTAAGAGAAAAGATGTAAGTAATAAAATGAAAAAGAACTTTTGGTTCTCAATTTCTTACACTTAGCATGGTCCCGCACTGCTGGATTGACTGTAAGCAGCTGTGTTATGCTTCTACTGTGTACAGCCTCAGTCGGAGGAGTCCCAAGAAGAGGACACGCTCAGGTCAGTGGCGCTTCAGCTTCCTTCGAACTGTGCCTAAGGGCAGCTGCTGCGTCACCTCTTGCTGGGTGAATGTTGACATTTATTCATAATGTCACACTCTTAACCTTAAGCAGACGTGTGGTAGAGCAAAGGTTGGGAGGGCTGGCCCACGCGGTCAAGCTCTACAGGGTCCTGCCCTTCACCAGCTATCCCCAGGCCAGCAATGACCAGGCCACGGCCTGCGTCTCAGCCCTCCAGCTTTTACATGAAAACTTCAATTGTCACCTATTTTGATGATACCCTTTGCTTATTTAATTCTTTCTTAAAGATTTTTTATGCCATTTAATTTATAGCTTGCTTTTAGTTGTAAATTTATGGTTCACACTTTCTCCCTAAGATTGTACCATCTGGGGTTTCCTGTTGTACTGTCAAATATAGCTATGTCAGCAAATTTTCCATGAACACCTTATATTTGGTAAGTGTGTCATGAATCCTGACGTATATAATTTTATATCTTAAAGTATCTTGGAAGTACTATCCTAATATTTTGGAAAACATTTTATTTTTTAGTTCTTAAATAGGTAGTACACATAAGTGTACCTTATTATATGCACCTATGAATATACAGATGGCAGAACAGATAGACAAATCATAAAATTACTTTCAAGGTTTTTGATTGGGGCCTAGGAGATAGCTCAGCAGCGTAAGAGCCTGCCTGGAAAGCGCAAGGTCCTGAGTTCGATTCTTGGTACAAAAAGCAAAAACAAAGAACAAAAAAGTTGACTTTTGGGGTCAGATTATCTGAAAGTCAGACCCATGACACTTGGATCTTTTATGTTGTCAGTGACAAATGCATGCAGGGCTCCTTAACTATATAATTCCTTTGAAGGCACTGTTGACTGTGGAAATGAGAAAGGTTATTTATTTATTTATTACTATGAAAGAACTTGGGGAGGACAAAGCATAATATATATGTACAAGAAGCTGTCAAGTTTAGGAGAATGGCTGCAAACAACGGAAGCTGGGCTCCCTGAGGATTTTCCACCGTGTAGCTTTTGACTCGCACACTTTCACAGACCAATTTATTAAGCACATATTATTTTTCTATTTTATTATTTCTGTTACTAAAACTACAGCTCCCCTCAAAAAATGTTAACTATTTGGCCAAATTTGAACCATGAGAAAGTGACAGACTAGGGACTGAAATTTTCATTTAACTGCAAATTTTCTTCTTCCATTAGGGATACAATGGGAAATTACTTAGAATTTAATGGGGCAGGATGTCTGTATACTGTCCAAAGAACACTTTTAGAGATACTGGGAGTGCTATTCTTCTGGAATAAAATGTTTGATGTTAGAAAAAGGCTCCAAAGGTCACTCAAGGTCATTTACCCCCATCGTCAAGCACTTTGCAGAAACAAGCAGGTCCATCAATGTTTCACCTATAATACAAATTAAGTGAGGACTAGAAATGCGAATGTTTAGAACAGAGACCAAACAGTTCAGCGGATTATCTCTGTGGCAGGACTAGGCAGTGGTGGATTTGAGGGGTGAGAAAAGCACTAATATTATAAGTGACTTTAAATTTAGCAGTTTCATCTTTGTATTTTCATGTTTAATCAATTACTAAAAATAATACAAGGTGTTGATTCGAAGATTTGATACTGCAAATATTTTACAGTGAAAAATCAATGTTACAAATTGTTATCAATGTTATTTAATTTTGTCTTTTTAGAAGCGTGGCTGACCCCTAGATTAAATCTGTTGCCCACTTGTTCCTTGCTTCCTCTCTCCTTTCCTTTCAGTAATGTTCTTTTTACTGCGAGTTGCCCCACCTCTTACACTGTAGGGCTCAAGTCAGTTGTAAAAATGATGAAATCTTGCATTTGATGCAAAAAATGCAGACAATTTTGTATTTTTATTCAATATGCAGGGTTCTTTTCCTTCATAATCATCAGGCAAAATGACACTCCAGGAATGTATGTCGTATTTATTCTACAGTTGTAAATGTGCCTTCAAATAAGATATTTTATCTCAGTTTCAGAGATAGAATCATCATAGGTCATGTAACGTTTGAACAGCCGTAAGACTATTTTACAGAAAATAATGACTGGAGTCACCCTTGGTGTCCTTTGTATGGTGTTTGCCCAGCATATTGAAGCAGTTGCAAAAGTCTGGTCTAGGCTTTACCTTTAGTTTATCCACTTCTTGCTTAAAGTCAAAATCTACCTACTGATTTTGTTTCTATATTTTCTAAAATAGTGAGTTAGCAGTTATAAAGTAGCTAGAGCTTCCTCAGCCAGTCATAGGGTTTTTCTGGCTAGAATTTAATCAGGATGAGCTATTGTCTTTAGATGGCCTGAATGCCCACCTGGCACTCCCAGATGACAGTACCCTCTCATAGCCTCCGCACATACCGTGAGAAAGAAATGGAGACTAATTTGGGCCATGTGGATTCCAGCAGGTATCTTTTAAAAAGCTTGTCAGATGTACTCATGGACCTGAAATCTGTTTCCTCTTACAGTCCTTTTTCTTAAGGCAAATAAGTTGAAGGAATTATAATTGTCTAGTGTAGTGTAGATTGTCATTCTGCTGTGTTAACGAGTAAGTTTCAATGTTTGGTTTTAGCAATGAAAGAGATGTTGGATAGACAGTTGACACAGAGCCCCTGAGATACAGACCCTCGGCCATAGCAGCCAGGGTGGGAGAGGGCTATGGAGTTCGAGGAATGTGTTATATCATTTATTTATGGAGCGGACACTGGCTAGGTTGATCTCATAAGCCCTATTACTGTGTATGATTATTATTTTAAAATACTGATTTTAAAATTCTGAATTCTTAAACTGAATATTCAAGTCCTTTAGAAGAAAAGTGAAGCTATCCTTATCATGTAAAAGGAATTTAATCCCTCTATGTACATGACTAAATAGATTTTGAATAGTTTCATATTTTTATAATATAAAACATCAAGAAAGCCTATTGCCAAGAAATAGGCGTTAGTTTGGTGACAATATTCATAAGTATAAGGCTATTAGTACTCTCAGTAAATATTAAAAAATAATATGAGCCTGAGATCATTCTGCATCAACATCATGTATAGGATGCAAGACAAATTCATGACTAATTTAAAACAACACAATAGCCATTCATCGGTTGATGGGCATCTGGGTTGTTTAAGAGGAGCTGAAGGGACGGGAAGGCATGAATGGGAGGAATAAAAAACAGAATAAGGTACATCACATACAGGGACAACTCCATCATGGTGAATCTGATCATTGTATATAACTAAATTTGAAAAATATGAAATTATGTTGTGATATTTAAATGCAAATGGACTCCAAACACTATACTGTAGTTTTTCTTATTATGACTTATCTTCTAAAATAATATGATATTTCATGTACAGATGAAACTTAAAATTCCTGTTGTTACTATGACTGACTTTATTATGTCCTGGGTGTTGTTTTAAAAATCTATTGAAGGATAATTAAAAACTTACAATGTTACTACAACTTATCATTTCAAGCCATCAGCTTTTAGTTTTACTCTGGATGAGGGTATAGATAAATGTATTTTTATTCACTGCGAAATATAAGACTTGCACAATCTTGACAGATTTGGCTCCATTAACACATGTAATCCTTTTGTAATCAATAGCACTGACTTAGCTTGCCTAAGGTTATAATAGAAGAGATGATTGTCTGACAACATGGGTAGAGATGAAGCCAGCATTTGAATCTTATCAATTTCCCGTTTATGGAAAAATTAAACATTTCACATTACTTTTCCCCTCTAACTGAAAGAAAAGCCAGTCACCTTCTAAATGGTATGGTAACTTCAAAGGCAAATCACTGCTATATTCTAGTCTTTTTTTCCCCCTCTAAAAATTGTTGTCCTACAAGGAAATATATTAAGATATACTGTACAGACCTTTTTCAATGCTTGGTCAGTTTGAAGCCTCCAGAAAGGTGATGAACTTCAGGGGAGCATTTCTTCTTTGCTAGGACAGCAGAGTTGACTTTGCCTGTCCACTAGAGACTGCTTGGTCCGTGGTCACTTTGCAGCAACTGTGGCCTCAGACCCTCATCTGGCCTCTTAGTACACTCAGCTATATTTGGTAACTGAACTCATGTTTCAGCAGAGTGCCACAATCTGGAATTCCAGCAGTCGAGTGGGAAGCAGCCCCAGGTCTGAGGGCTGCGTTCTTAGAAATTAATGCCACCTAGTATAGAAGGAACTATATTTATGGATCTAATAAACACAAAACTTAAAACAGACACTTTTGTACTCTGATCCTGTAGTCAAAAATCACATTTACCTCTTTAACATATTCTTAACCAATTACTAGTGTGTGATTTCAGATAGAAAAAGCCACATTTTAAAAGAAGGTATTTAGCTATAATCTTCTCTGATATTTAACTTTCAGTCCCATAGGAGATTGTCCTAACAGAACATCCAGTAGCTATTTAAAAAGTTAGACACCGTTAAATTAGAGTTCCATTTTCTTACTTCATGCTGTTAATTAAAAATTATGACTATGATGTGTATTGAGACATTGTCCAAAGTAGGATGAATGAGGCGTGACCGTGCAGGGACTGACTGTTATACGTGTTGCAACACTAAGCTCTTAGCTCACTGCTTAGCCCATCAAGAACATGTAGTGAAGATTGGCCGAAGCAAAGATGGTGAATGAATAACGTTCAAGACAAGTATGAACCCTACTATAGTTGTAAAAGTGTTGCACAACCATTTTATTACATTTTTTTTCAGCATCTCATTGGAACATGGGCTGACACCATGATCTTGTAAATAACAAATGGCAATAATAAGTCTTTCCTGATTCGAGGTGAGCTAGCAGAGCCAAAGCTAAGGAGCGAAAATAGTCACAGAGCAGAGTTCGGTGACGTTAACCTGGAAACGAAACGCTGACTTTTCTGTTGCCTGGATAGTATCACCACAGCCGATCCCGTTTTGTAGCTGAAGAATTTTTTTCTTTTAATGAGGTCTCTATAAAGCTCTGTCCTTATACTTTATAGTGAAAACTGGCCCTTTAAAAACTGGTCCTCCTTAAAATTTGTCTTTGCTTCACTACATGCATTCATTAGTGTTTTTAAATTTTATTTTTATAGGACAAAAATCCCTAGTTGCTTTTCTTAGTCCGAAAGTTATACTGTATATTTATATAACAAAATATCACAGACTGTGCAATTTATAAAGAATCAAGATTTACTTTTCACATTTCAGGAACCCTGGAAGTGCAAGGTCAAGGGCTTGGCAGGTCCACTGCCTGACGAGGGTCCTGTCTCTGTTTCCAGGATGGCGTCTTGAGAGCTACGTCTTCCCGAGAGGAGGGACACTGTGCTCTTGCAGATGGAAAGGTGAATGGGGAGACAGATGTGAAACTCCTCCCATGAAGCTCTTCAACAAGGGATGGAATCCCACTCATGATGGCAAAGCTCATGAATTACCTCCCGAGGATTGCATTCCCCAGTCTAGATGCACTAGGAGTTACCCTTCAGGCTGAATTTAGCAATGACTGAACAAGTGTTTACATTTTCAGTGTTTATCAAAAAAAGGTAATAAAAATTGGATAGTAGAGAAACTGAGAAGACAGAAGATGCAGTTGTTGGAAAGTGACAAACAGGTAGATGGGTCTAACTACATTGCAAAATTTAAATGTCTGCAGAAGGAAATGCCAATCAGAGTAAGTCCCAGAGTCCCCAAAATGTGCAGAAATTGGAGGCGCTAGAACTCTCCTTGGAGTTCTAGCTTTAATTGGCACCTGTGGATGTTGCCGGGAATAAGAAAGCCAGGATATGAGACTAGGATTGAGGGGAAAAATTCCTAAGGAACAGTTAGACTTTATTTTTCAGCTTACTTTTCAGGCATCCGTAATACTGCTCATTCTCATGCTCAGGGAGGATGGGAGGGGAGCTCTCAGGGCTCCAAGAATGCAAAACACAGGAGATGGAGAGAAGGAGGCAAGGGAGGTGGTCCGGAAGTGGGGGAGGGTTGGGCCACAGGAGGGAGTGAAAGCCTCACTTGTGTCTAGGACTTTCATTAATTTAATTTTATTTTTTTGAGAAGAGTAATGGTCAGAATATAGGAAAATGGTAATATTTGATACATCTTGGTACTGTTGCGGATATTCGTTGCATTTGTTAATATATTTTTTTGTATCTGAAAAATGTCACACTCAAAAGTAAACGAGACCTACCTCTAAAGGACACTATCTGCTTCAGAGATTATGGGAATCAAAATATAACCTCTCCTTCACCTTGCTCATGGAAAGAATTACTGATATTAATCAAGTGGTTGAAATGCTACATGTATAATAACTTTATTGTTGAACCAGTTATTAATTTCAAAATAATTAGATGTTCTCTGTATTACATAACATAACCTTCCCTTCAATGTTTTAAAAAGATTGTATTGTTGTTAGTGAATTTCGCAGGAGCCACCAGATTGCCCATCACTTGATGGGTATGTGAAAGGTGCTCATGTTAATATTTTTCTCTTATTAAGGCATTACCAGAAAGATAAATATTCTTGCAGTTCCTAGAAAAAGCAGAGATAGGTTTACAGTACAGTAAATGTTTGCTGCATGGTCTGGCAAGAATAAACATGAGTGTGTTCAGTGGCTCAATTTTTTTGTTAGTGTTGTGGCAAAACTCACAACTAGCTGAAAAACAAAACGTTATTTTTTCCAAGGAATACTGCACACCTAAGTTTTCTTATATTTAATATTTCTTTTTTCTCATGAAGAAGTTCATAATTTTTAAACAATAGAAATACAAAGTTAGATACACATATCAAGCCTCCCAAACAACATTTCTTTTGTACGTGTGATTAAAACATTCCTGTTGAATTGTGTACAGAAACACGGAGGCTGGTACTTGTAGGGGAAGCTGTTGGTCCCAGAGTGGAAGAAAGCTGGATTCTATGTCCTCCGGGGGGACAGAGGGGTGGTGGGTCTTGTGATTAGCCGGAACACCGATACTGGACAGAGGATAAGCGGCCAGCCATCGCGTAGTTTGGACGTGGACACCCAGGTGTGAGCACTAAGCATGATAGCTGCTTATTTATTTATTTATTTTTAGTACAGGGTCTACAGGGTCTCACTATGTAGATCGGACTCAGAGTGATCCTCCTGTTTTCAGCCTCCCAAGTGCTGGGATTATAGGCATGCACCACCACGCCCAGTCTCAATCCCCATCTCAGTGCGCCCAGGGCGGGGTCGGCACGGCATGGAGAGTATCGAACCCCGGTCCCTGCATCTACCTAAGCATAAGCATCATAGCTTTGGAAGCTGCAGCGAAGGAGGTAGATGTCTGTACCTTGTAACAGATCGTGGGGGCTGGATCAGCGGACCCTAACGGTGATGAAGTTGGACGACGGAGCAGAGGAGGCCTCCCTCACCTGCCCCGATGACTTGGTGCCTAAATCCTGGGGTCCTGCCAAGAGTGATGAAACATACCCTGCAAAAGAGGAAAAACGACAGCCGTGAGCTTTATGGGTCCACAATATGCCTCAAAGCTGGGTCTGTTTACAACATGCAGAGGACTAAGAAATGCTGTCTTCTCACACATTGTGAACAGCAAACCACGCTTGTTTGACTGATGTAAGAATCTGAAAAACAAAGTTCCTATTTTCTAGAAAATTTGTACCAGTACTTGGACCAAAGTTCTTAAAGTAGCATAAAAAGGCTGAAATTCTACTTGGGATGGGATTTGACCTGGGCGATGCTGGGCTCTCCTACCTACTCACATATTTACCACCAAGTCCGTTGCTGTGCTCAGGGAGGCTGCAACATGGGATCAGCTACTCTCACTGGGGCCAGCTTTCTCATGTTGATTGCATCTTCTCAGAAAAGTTATTGCTCTGCTATCCTCTTCCACATCATTTTTTTTTTTCAGCTAAGACTTTTGACCTAACATGGCCCTTGAATTTCTTCTAAGTCCTGCCACTATCTTGAGCGATTTCAGCCCCTCTTCATTGATTTGTTCCATGCTTTCGCATGTTGGTTCTTGTCCTGACTGTCTCCAGTGGTCTCCGCTTCTGCCCTCACAGTTGTGTGTTTCTGAAAACATTGAAAAGACTCCCATCTTAGCACAACAACTGCTCATTGTTTCACAGCTTCTGTGTATGAGGAACCCTGTAGGGTCTTAGCTAGGTGACCCTATGTCACTGTTTTGTAACCTTGCTGTCATGAAGATGTTCCCAGCTTTTTTTATTTGAAAGCCTAGGTGAGGCTAGAAGATCTGTTCTCAAGGTGGGTCATTCACAGGTCTAGAAAAACTCAGTGCTGTTATTGGTAAGAGCCAGGAAGTTCGCTATATGCTGCTTGAGCTTTATTTCGTATTGCGTAATTCAATGAGCAGCAAGGAATAATTCCAGAAAGAGCACAGCACAGGTCCTTCATGACCTTGACTTTGGGGTTAGATTTCATAGTTTCTATATGATCTTTAGTTCCATGAATTGTCCTGATTAATCATGGGGAGGGCAACACAGACACGTGAGCCCATGAGCAGGGTCACTTGCTCACCTTGGAGTCCACGTACCCGGCCTCCGTTCCATGTAACTCCTCATTGTCACGACAGCTGCACTTGGACACACTCCATTTTCAAAATCGCAAATTCGTTATTTGAGTTTCATTATTTGACTGCCAACTTTCTTCCTCTACATCACTCGCTCAGTGACTACACGGACTTTTCGTCACCAGTGTCTCCAGGCTGCCGGTCACTCTATCTTCATATTATTAATATACATTGGTTTCAGGTTAGTCAGAAGTATAGTATATTTTGTTGTCTTCATTTTAGCAGATACAAACTCTCAGGCGCTCAGTAGGCAAGATATATGAATTTTTGATAGAAGGATATGAGGAAGAATACTAACAGTTTGTTCCTTTGTCCTCCTGATTCTTTTCTCTCTCTGGTGGATCAACAAGCTCTGCAAGTTTGAGTCTCAAAGATGGTCTGCTTATTCGCTTTGCTGACCATGTCTGCTTCTGTTTTCATTTCCAACACATCTTACCAGCAGACGGGGCTCATGCATCTGCAGCTAAAATGGTGAGCAGGAAG